CAATCAGGCGCCCACCTGGAGAACAGGGGAATACAGTTCAAGTTTTGGCAATCAGGCGCCCACCTGGAGAACAAGGGAATACAGTTCAAGTTTTGGCAATCAGGCGCCTACCTGTAGAACAAGGGAATACAGTTCAAGTTTTGGCAATCAGGCGCCCACTTGGAGACCAAGGGAATACAGTTCAAGTTTTGGCAATTAGGCGCCCACCTGGAGAACAACGGAATACAATTCAAGTTTTGGAAATTAGGCGCCCAATTGGATAACAAGGGAATGCAGTTCAGGTTTTGGCAATTAGGCGCCCACCTGGAGAACAAGGGAATACAGTTCAAGTTTCAGCAATCAGGCGCCCACTTGGAGAATAAGGGAATACATTTCAAGTTTCGGGAATCAGGCGCCTACCTGGAGAACAAGGGAATACAGTTCAAATTTTGGCAATCATGTGCCCTGTTGGAGAATAAGGGAATACATTTCAAGTTTCGGGAATCAGGCGCCTACCTGGAGAACAAGGGAATACAGTTCAAATTTTGGCAATCATGTGCCCTGTTGGAGAATAAGGGAATATATTTCAAGTTTTGGCAATCAGGCGCCCACCTGGAGAATAAGGGAATACAATTCAAGTGTTGGCAATGAGGCGCCCACCTGGAGAGCAAGGGAATACAGTTCAAGTTTTGGCAATCAGGCACCCACATGGAGAACAAGGGAATACAATTCAAGTTTTAGAAATCAGGCGCCCACCCGGAGAACAAGGGAAGTCATTTCAGAACCTAATTCAAGTTAAAAGTAGCAAAAGCTCGCGACAAGAATGCGAGTCAACAGTCTGAGATGATCAATAGAAGTTAGTCACAATCCAGAATAAAAAAAAAGGAAAGAAGTGAATCCAAAATGCAAAAGTAGAGAAAGATGTGAACCGCGTACGACATGGATGAAATCACGAGCATTGCATGTCCGGTCTTGATCCGAAGAAGAATGAACTAGCACCTGCAGCTAGCAAGCGTCAAGGTTCAAATCTAAAGTCTGTATGAAGAACCATTCAAGACTCAAGATCAAGCTTCAGAAGACTTATAGATAGGAATCTTGTAACTCGTAGTTGGCAGGCTTAGTTAGTCTTTTTAATTTTTGATTTTGATGTAATAACAGGACCGCGTATCAGTACCTCGATGGAACAACACCTCAATCGGCTCTCCACCTCGGTATACTCCATCACTATTCCTACTTCTGAACTACACGTGGCCTGATTCCTTTATAGCCAATGATATGTAGGCAGCTCAAATACTAGGGCTCGGTCACATTCTCCTTTCTTTTAGTTTTTGGTTTCTCTAAATAAGGGTCGGGTCAAAAATCATGTCTAGTCATTCTTTGTCTGAAAATACTTCGTATTTCCAGTCAAAGAAGGGCAGCTGTAGACATGTGATTTTTGACCCTCCCCAAGATTTTTTATATTTTAGTATGTAAATATTTAGTTTAGGCCTTATATCGCTATTTCAACTAATTTTGATTCTTTTACTTTATTTCCTCACAAAAATAAAAATTACAAAAAAATATTTTATAAAAAAAATATACAAAAATAGTACCTTATTTTTATCTTTATATAATCTTGAAAATACAAAAAAAATCACTTTTAATATCTAGTTTTATCTTAGTAGTGTGTTCTAATTAATTAAGAGTAAGTTTTATATTTTTATATTTTAGTCTTCTTAGTCAAAATTAAGACCCAATAAGACATGGACCCAACCCAATTTTAATTTTAAAGCCCAAAAACCCATTAGACCCATGAGATCTTTTTTTTTAACCCTAAAATTCCCTAAGAATAAGAGGACCCCGAGACCTAAGACTAATGGGCCGAAAAAAATACACAAAAATAGACACTAGAGACCTTAGATCCGTCGTTTACACCAAGGACCCCCCGTTCTTCTTCTTCAATGAGTAGCTAACCTAAAAATCCCTAGGGAAGCTAACACAAAATAGCCGCAAGACCCTGAAGATCGCGGATTTTCATCAAAAAGGACCATTCCCCCATCCGTTTACGATCTTCTTGACAAAAAAATGAGAAACAGCAAAAAAATTCATCTTCCCCTCAAAAACGTAGACAAAATAAAGAACCCTAGGGACTAAATCAGCCGAAAAACCAACAAAGAACACACACACAGTCACATGTTGGAGATTCACATTCGCAAACTCTCGGTTCCGCACGTCCTTCACTCACCTTCACTCACTGTCGAAGAGAGTCAAAATGGATTCAAATTGTATTCTGGATTTGGAAACAAATCCCTTAAAAAACTAAAAACAAAGATAGAAACAAATGAGGATTTCCAGATTTCATGGGGATTTTGTTAATTCATATGGTTTTCCAGTAAAGTCCAGTCCGTCAATTCCAATTAAGGTTCCGGTCACAGGTTCATCTGTTCGCTTAAAGATTTGTTGGGTGCTCTTTCCTTAATCAGTCTTTCAAAGAGGGTGGTGTAGTAGAGGTGCATCTCTCACACCTTCATATTATTTCATCTCATTTTTCTAGTTTGGTGAAAGATTTTTATTGATTTTGTATTCTGTTATGTTGGTGTTTGTATTTGTTGTCTTAGTTTCCCCATTTGGTTAAGTGCCTTAAGTCATGATAATGAATAGAATGAATTAATAAAGACGATTATCTTTCGTGCTTTGAAATCCGTGTGCAATTTGGTTAAACTAGATCTGATGTTAATGTGTGTATATGCTAGATTGTTTTTTGAGGAAATTCGTTTAAATTAATACACTGAGTCAACCGAGGTTTAATTTCTTATAATCATTTTGTTTGGTCTACTAAGATTGGATGCTTTGCCTCAGTTGAATGGGTTGTATTGGTTTAGCAGAACTTTTAATAATATTTGGCCACGAGCTTTGTCGTTAAATGAAAAAATGTTGGAGATTATTACTTTATTCTCTTAATTAGTCATAAGAGCATACTTAGGCCACCACACCCGGGTAGGCGAACCTTTAAGCACGTAATTAAATCATCACAACTACGGGTATGGTTCCCATGGCGTGGTTGTGATACTTAATCTCAAATTAGTTTTAAATATGAACATCCGTAGTTCACTTAGTTGAATGCTTTTCCTTTAATAAAATTGAGGTGTGCCATCCAATCACCTAGTCTATGGCCCTCACATCGATATCTTAACTAGTGTAGAAAATATCTTGAACTCTCGTAGTTTGTTTTAGGCATGTTTAATTAAATAAATTGTCATAGCTACGGGTACGGTTCCCGTGATGTAGTTGTGATGCTTAATTTCTAAATTCGGAGTACATTTATGTGACCCGCCCACAATTTAATCTTGTTGATAAAATAAACTTGTTGTGGATTTTGGGTACGGTTCCCGTGACATGATTCACAATGTGTAATCAAATAATTAGTGGTAAAACAATTGGATTACTAAAAGCGATTTAAAACGAATAAAATGCACATAGGTCTCAAGAATGAATTAAAATCAAATAAATAGGCCTATATTAACAGTTGAGCGATCGTACTAAAACCACGGAACTTGGGAATGCCTAAAACCTTCTTCCGGGTTAATAGAATTTCTTACCCGAATTTCTGTGTTTCGCGGACTATAAAACAGAGTCAAACTTCCTCGATTCGGGATTTAAACCGGTGACTTGGGACACATAAATCATCCCAAGTGGTGACTCTGAATTTTAAATAAAATAATCCCGTTTCGATTATCACTTAAATTGGAAAAACTCCCTTATACCCCTTCCAGGGGTAGAAAAAGGAGGTGTGACAACTGGTGATTGCACTGAATAGACATCACAGCTGCTCCAACTAGTCTATGTAATCATGGACCTTCCCACGCGATCACGTATAAGGAAGCTAGATCAGTGCACCAAAAAATTCCAGAAATTCTTTACGTCCAAAAATTGATCCATTAACCATCCAAAACTCACCCGAGGTCCTCAGGGCCTCAACCGAACATAACAACAAGTCCTTTAACATCATAAAAACTTAGTCGAGCCTTCAAATCACATCAAACAATGCTAAAATCATGAATCGCACATCGATTCAAGCCTAATAAACTTTGAACTTCTAATTTCTACATTTTGATGTTGAAACCTATCAAATCACGTACGATTGACCTCAAATTTGCACACAAGTCACAAATGATACCACAAACCTATTCCAACTCTCAGAATCCCAATCCGAGCCCGATAACTACAAAGTTCACTCTCTCCAAGATAAATCCATTAAAAATAAACCCCCTTAAAAACAGGATGCGAGCTTTATGAATGGTCTTTCTGCAAACCACAACCTCCCATATGCTCGAGACTTTTAATTTTAGGATGTGAGCCTCATAAAAGCCAGTTGCAATGCCGAGAGAACTTATGTATGTTACATATTTTGCTCTCTATGTAATGAGTGATAGAAAATTAGGAAAAGTGACCTCAAATTTTCATCATGCTATCTCTACATAGACAAAAAAAGAGAGGAAAAAACAGAGTCAAAAGAACACGAGTTTACATAGTTATTAGTTAGAATGATTCAACTCAGTTATAGAGGAAGAGACTGTGAACTTACCTTAAAATTTGAGGCTTAAATCAGACTCTATAACTTTGAGTAAAACGATTTTTGGGCAGCTTATAAAATTATACATAAGGATGTGAAAAGTTGTAGTAATAATTTAGGCACTTAAATATTAGGACTTTTTAGTTTTCTAACGGTAAGGAATAGGAACTAGTGTAGTAATAAATAAATTCTCATAATTACAACAACATTTACTCTTATTATGAGATAAATAAAAAAAGTATATAAACAAGGCAAAAAAATTTAAATAAAATCCTTGGTCAATGCGAGGTGCCAAGTCACCTTTTCCATTTCGTCATATATATATATATATAAACTTACCCCTTTTATACTATATACCCCTCCTATAGAGATTATTACTTAATTACATTAGCATATATAATTTACTATTTATATACAATATAATATTATTTTTTTAGCAACCATACTACTAGGTTGGATGCCTAATGACTAATATATAAATAATAATTCAAAACTAGAATCCAATATTTACAATTTGTCCAAAGAACAAAGCTAAAGGATGTAAAGCTAAAGCTGGCTACACTATGAAACCTAACTATTACAAGTGATAAAATAGACAACTCCCAACATATGGTGATGAGTGTATCTATAAGCCAAGTGCAAAACCTCAATGTAGCACCTCCAAAGCTCTTACTAGGCACCAAGTTTTGCATTCCATAGGACAAGGCAAATGTAAATCTCCAAGCAACACCATCAGTTTCTGGGGCTGACCAAGCATCCAAGTAGCATGCATATGCAAACATCCAAACTCTGAACATCAATATACAATATGATAATAGTATGTCAATGGAACACATAGAGAAGTAGCCTTTCTTCTGAATCAAAGGATGAAACATGAACTATCAGTAGCAACATGTATGTAAGCAACATTCCTGCATTTTAAACAACCAATATGCACTGCAATAACACCTCCAGAATGGGCATGTTAACATGCCAATACCACTGGATAATGCCATTACAGTACACATATACACAATAGCAGACTACAAAGCTTTAAAACCATTGGATCCCAACTTAAGTTCACCATCTGAGGCTTCAGTAATGATAAGTTATAGAGCTATGAACCAATTGAATTCATATCCTGTAGTGAATACATAACTAGTAGACAATGCATAGGGCATACAATGACCTAAAGCTAGACATGAAGACATGTTGTGCCCTTATATGATGAGAAATCCATTGTCTGCTTGCACAAATACTTCCATATACCTTTAGAACACCACCAGAATGAGCATGATAATATACTAATACCAGTGGAAAGCATCCTAACAGCATACAGAATGCCACTATAACAAAACAACAAGCAAGAAAAGGCATTAAGACAAATAACATACTCATCAATCAGGAGCTCTTCTTTTAGCAATCCTAACCCTAAGATTAGGAGTTTGTGACTTATCAAGATTTATTAGTCTCCTCCCTGTACTTGGAAGTTCAGAGAAAGAGTGAAACTGGATTATACCTGCAAAAGAAAACACAAGGTTAGATAAAAAGTCTGCTACAATATTTCCCTCCCTTAGTACATGTTGTAATAGCACATTAAAGTGCTCCTTCATCTATTGTATCCTCTTCACTTCAGCTATAAAACACCATGGTGGATCCCATTTTCCTTCAATCCCAATGAATTGGTTTCCAATATGAGAGGGTGCAGCTCATGAGCTACACAATATGCTAAGCCTTCTTCAATTACCTTAGCCTCAACAACAATATTTGTTGTGTCCTCCAGTTGCTTTGCTCGTGCATATGCCAAATCACCTTCACTATCCCTCACATAGAAGCCTATAGAACTAGGTCCTAGATTACCTCTTGAAACTCTATCAATATTGCACTATACCATCCTTTATAAGGCAGCTGCCAATTCACCCTTCTAGTCACCAACTCTAGCTTGTATCCTTCAAAGAACTTGATCATGTCTGGCAAAAGATAGGGAATACCAGGAAGCCAATTATACCTTGTCTTTGCTAAGAAGTGTAAGGTCTTGTTGATCTCATTAATCACTCTAGTAACAGATACTGAGCCACCATTTCTATTTGTATTTCTCATCTTCCAAAGCTCTCAAGTGACAATAGCTGGCACAACTTGATATAATGGCTTAAGTTTTGGGCAGCATGCAGCATTCCACCACTCTCTAATAACTTGATGCACCTATACTAGCTGAAAATTAAGCCTTGCAGCATTCATAAATGTCCTCTAAACTCTAGTAACAGTATGGCCTAACAGGAACAAATGATCAAATGATTCCTCTTGTGGAGCTTGGCAACACCAACACCTAGACATATATATCATTAGTATCCAATTTGTATATCCATAGCCTACAAAGAAAGAAAGAGATCTTGAAAGGTAGAACTTTAATCCATATATGCTTGAATTCCTGATTAATGTTTGCCCTATGTCTCACTAGTTTCCATGCACTACTGACTATGAACTTTCCTGAGGTTGTAGGTCTCCACCAAGGCTTGTCCCAGTAACCTCCAGTCTCTTCAAACGGCACCTGCTGTATAATATGTTCTACAGTATCCTCAAGAAAGGATTTTTCAACTATCTGCTCATTCCAATCATCTCATTGCCTCAAGTCTGCCACTTCTTGTAAGTCCTCATTGATGTGAAAATCAGGTGGCACTACATGATATAAAGCTCCTAACCCAATCTAGTTTTTCTGCCAAACATTTGCAGTACCACACTTCATCTCCCACCAAATCTTATGCTCCACCTCTTGCCTAGCATTTAGCATTTGCCTCCAAACATGAGAACCTTGCCTAAATTATACCATTGTTGGTATCTTTTTCTTGCAATATTTGTTCCACATAAATTTTGACCACAATGACTTTGTGGTCCTAAATCTCCACCATAGCTTTACAAACAATGCCCTAGATACATCAAACAAGGATCTGAATCCTAACCCTCCTTCCTCCTTTGGGAGACAAAGCTTCTGCCATGAGGACCAATGTCTACTCCTCCCTCATTCCTTATTGCTCCAGAAGAACCTTGCACTTAACTTATGCAAGTGTTCCACTATGTTTTTAGGAGGAACCAGAATTGAGAGTAAGTGCACCGGTATGCTTTGAAGCACACTACTGATCAGTGTAGCCTTGCCTCTATAAGATAACAACTTTCCTTTCCATAAGTGCAGCTTGGCCTTTACCTTCTTTACTAGATCATCATAGTAGTCTTTTCTTCTCCTGGTATAGAATATTGAACACCCTAAGTGGATGAAAGGGAATTCACCCTTAGAAAATCCAGTAATATCGCTAATTGTTTGAACCAAAGTAGTTGCCACATTAGAGTGCATATAAGAGGAATTCTTTGCCTTGTTGATGAGCTGGTCGAAGATCTTCTCATATCCATACAACACTGCCATGTTATTCTTCAATGAATCTGGATGAGCTGAGGCGAAGATAATTGTGTCATCGATATATGCAAGATGGTTCAATTGATCAGTCCACTTTATCATTCCAAAACCCCTAAAAGAATTGTCATCAAACAATTTGTTCAATGATATAGACAACACTTCTACTGACAGTATGAATAATGCAGGAGATAATAGATCTCCTTGCTTTACCCCTCTAGTAGACTGAAAGAAGCCTGAAGATTGGCCATTTACCAAGATTGAGTACCATTTATTTGACAACAAATTCCATATCATGATGATAAAATGTTCAGCAAATGCCATCTGCCTTAACATATGAAGTAAGTATTTCCAAGATACCCTATTATATGCTTTAGCCATGTCTAATTTAATCACTACATTGGCAAACTTGCCCTTTAACCTGATATTAGTAATAATCTCCTGAGTGAGGAGTATGTTTTCAAAAAGACTTGTTCATTTCACAAAGCCAGACTGGTTGGAGGATATCAAAGAAGGCAAGAACTTTTCCAGTCTATCATGTCCGACTCAAGACATCACATTGTTGATGAAATTGTTCAAGATTATGGGTCTCAAATATGAGAAAGTCTAAACCATAGGCTTTTATGGAAGTAACACAAGGTTAGTGTGTGTGATAGATTTAGGCAGTGGTGCTCCCCCAAAGAAGTGCAATACTATGTTATGAATATCAATACCAATGATGTCCCAACATACTTGATAGAAAGTACCAGTTAATCCATTAGGACCACCAGCACTCTCCCCACTAAGTTCAAACACAACAACCTTGACTTCTTCAAGAGTAGGATATCTACATAATTCCAGATTCTGCTCTATATTCACCATAGCAGGCACATTTTCTAGTAGAGTGAAGTCAGTATGATTAGCTTCTTTCATGAATTGCCTCTGGTAGTTCCACAGTAGCAGCTATATCATCTTGGCTTTCAACCCAGACTCCATCCCCTTTTTATATTCTTTTCAATTGCAGCTTCTGTCTCTTGCCATTAACATGATTGTGGAAGAATCTTGTATTCCTATCTCCTTCAGCAAACCATGTCATCCCAGCCTTCTTCTTCCAGTATTACTCTTCTATGATTAAGTATCTTTTCAATTCAGCTTGTGCTTTTTGAAGCACTATTCTATTCTCAACTGTAGGTTCTTCTTCAAAAAGCATCTCCTTCACCTTTACAATATATTCCCCAATAGCAAGTTGTTTAAATATGTCTCTATATATCTCTTTGATCCATTTAAATAGTGCAATCTTTACCCTCTTTAGCTTTTGCTTGAACATGAGATATGGATCTCCAATAAAGTCAGCAATCCAGTTTTGCCTAGCCACTTCCTTAAATGCTTCATGTTTGTTCCACAAGTTCAGGAATTTAAAAGGCTTAATGAAGTTAGCAGCTTGTTCACCACAACTCATGAATTGAGGGGCATAATCTGATCCAGTCCATATTAGATATTCAACATCAATGGTAGAGAATAGATTCTGGAATGGTAACTTCACAAACACTCTATCAAGCCTCTTAAAGATACACTCAACATTTGGTTTACTATTCCATAAGGTGAATGGACTTCCTTTGTAGCCTAAATCAAACACCCCACAAGAGTTCGCACAAAAGGCAAAGTCTTCATAGTCAGGAGGGTGAACTGGTCGTCCCCCAATATTCTCATCTTCATGTAGCACAACATTGAAATCACCAACAACAACCCAAGGCAACTCCATATCACTTGCAATATAATATAGATTATCCCACAATTCCAGCCTCTCAAATGAAGAACATTTAGCATATACAAAAGTAAACATGATGTATTGGCCAATATCTTGATGATACAGTTTGATAATCACCTGTTGTTCAGTATCCATCACTAATTCCTACACTACAGTAGCATCAAAGAAAAGCCAAATCTTCCCATTAATGTTATACATAGCAGCATCCATATTAAGTCTTCTTCTGTATCTTTGAATATGTCTTGAGTTCTGAAAAGGTTCTATCAAAGCAACCACAAAGAATCCATGTTCCCTATGCATATTAATCACTCTTTGAAAGGCCTGTTGAGTTTTAACAGATCTTATGTTCCATATCAAGGTCTTGACCATCATTTGGTAACTGAGACTGCCCTCTCGGGCATAATTCTTATAGGTTGAGGTACTTCTTGAACTTGACCATTCTTCTTGACCTTCTTACCACTTCTGCCTGCAACTCTTGGTGATAAGTCTGAATCTCTAGCAACTGCCTTGAAATTTCCTACAGTATATTCACCTTCTCCCTCTTTCTCAATCTCACCTTATTCTACCTCTACATCCTGAAGGTCCATAGGTGCCACATTGTGAGTGATAATGTCATGTAGTATTTGGTTAGGTGACTTCAATGGGACATTAATTTGAAGCTGCAAAGGCTGCCTAGTTCCTAAGGCACAGACCATCAGCAATGCATCGATTGCACCTGAAGCCTTAGGAATAATGTCCTGCTCATTGACACCCTAGTCACCTCCTTCAACCCCTGGTTATGTTGTTCCATTGCTCCAAAAGTATCCCACATCACCTTGAAATTCAATTCATAGACTGAACACAGATTAGGGTTTATTATAGCAGTAGACCACTGTGGTTTGATCACAAGTTTTAACCCTAGTTTCATGCATCCTAGGGTTTACTGTAGCATGTGAATCTACTATGCCATGCTTCTTTGCATGATCATTGCTGTGAGAATTGTTTAACTCCATCTCCTCAACTTCTTTCACCCCATGATGTGCATCTATTGCTTGTTGCATCAGTTGTTCCAATTCCCTTTGAGCTACCACCATTTGTTGTTCCTGTGATATCAACTGCCCTTGAAGAGCCTCCCATCGTGTGTGAAGGAACTTCTTGACAAGAATGGTTAGTTATCACATTAAGTACCTCTTTAGTAGTTCCAAACCTTGTTTGAACCCAATCCATAGTTCTTTCCTTTTGCGTGTCTACCCCAATTCCAAATGCATTAGGATTAGAGTTAGGGATGATTTCTTTAGCCGCTACAGTAGAACTCCCATTTCCTTTAGGATTTGGACTGGAATGTGGCACATTCTCCTGTTGCTTCTTCTCTTTGTCCTTGTTGGATTCATTTACCAGTTGTTACTTCTCCTTTTCTTTAACAGTGTTATCTCTTTTGCCATCCGTAATTTGTAAAATGGGTTGCTTAATCTCTTCAACCTCAAGAGCATCTAACTTGTTTTTTATAGTAACTGTTTCAGCATTGTTCTTCCCTTTGACATTGCCAACTCCTTGTTCTTTTGCAGCTTCAATTATATGGCTTATACTATCCTTTTGATACCTATTCTTTCTTCTTTGCATCCACTCCTGCTTGCAGTGTTTGCAATTGGTTTCCCTACTACTTTTCCATGTGTGAGGACCTTAGTTGATGCAGCTGTAGTACCAACTATCTCCTTCCCAATACTTTGATTTTCAAATAGCTACTTCATACTTCTTATGCAACTCAGGATGAATCACCCAACAATCAACTTCATTGTGACCTTGTTTCTTACAAGTCTTACAATATTTTGGAAGATAATCATACTTGATTTTAATACATTTAGATTCTTTCGGCCCAGTTTTATCCTCTTCTTCAACCATTTTAATTCTTTGAGGAAATTTAGCAATCAAATTCACCTCCACTTTCACCTTTGCACAACTAGGTCTAGTACCATTTTGTGATGCTAAATCAACATGTAAAGGATTACCTACTGCTCTTGCTAATGAAAACATGAATTCCTTACCAAAGAAGTTAGGTGACAACTCTGGAAAACTAATCCAAGCAAAAGTAATAGGAGTCTCCTCTTCAGGCTTCCACCAAGGGTTCCACTTCGCACATCTCATCTGCCACATCTCTCCTTGGGCTTTTAGGTAGAAGGCAGACTTAGAAAGTAGATGAACATAATCTTCCATCAATGATAGCCTGATAAAAACATGATTATCTTCAGTAAGGCCAATTGAGCATGCTCCTTTAAGTTCACATTGAATTGGAATCACCTTACGTAGCTCTTGTATCACTGGCTTCCCGTATGAAAATTTTCCCAAGACTACGAGTTGCAAGCGTTGTTTCACGATTTATTGCTTCACTTCTGACTTCTTCCTCTAATTTACAGGCTCCCTATAAAGATATTCTACTAGTTTTATGGGCACGAGGGGTGGGGTTTGCATGAGGGCATTTAATAAACTTGGTTGTAGTAATTTTGCGTAGTTTGTGGGTAGATTAGGGTTTGTAGAGGTCATATGTGGGTGTGGGGATGGTAAGGACGACTGACCAGCCTCAAGAGGAGGCTGGCTAGTGGCCAGAGCAGCCATTAAAGGCTTCATGAGAGCTTCGAGATCAGTGGTCTCCTAGTCGTCGCCTTATCGCCAGAGCTTGGTTACAATATAATATATTAGACTCCAATTTTACCTATATTTTCTCTATTCTTCTTCCCCAAATTCAACCCTCTTCAAACCTTTTAACAAACCATACCTTTTTCAAACTTCACCATCAACCTGAACTAGTTAGTTTTAATCAGCATCCATTTTTTTTAAAAAATATAGCAATAACAGAAAACAAAAAACAAAAAAAATGAAAAGAATGAACGAACAAGCCTAGAAAAGAAATAGAACTAGTCATTGTTATTGTAGATTTTGAGGAGCAAAATTACCATATCTCATGCGAAAAAGTTTCAATATTCTCCGTCTTCTCTACCTTAGAGTGAGAAGTATTGTTTCCATCATATCTCAACCCCTTGTACCCAGATCATGATAAAAACATCGGAATCCAAACTATAGAACATGAGCAAGATCAGCTGCACCACTGTACCAACAAACCCAAAGACTCCATTTATGACAACTGATTTCCTGACCAAGTAAGTTTTCAAGACAAACTCATTCCCAATGCATTCTTTGACACCATGGATTTTAAAGCTGACTCTCTTCGTAAACTAAGCTTTGATGACGAACAAGACAACCCACTACATCTTCCCCATTTCATTGCTATCACTACGAATGATAAAACTCGTTTATACCAACTATAACAACAGACAGTCGTCATTAAACTACTTGGACCCAAAGTAGAGTATAATTACCTTAAAAATAAACTAACCGCCCTTTGGCAACTAGCAGAACCCCCTCAATATTATTGACTTAGGTTACGAATATTACCTTATCAAACTTTTCCATAAAGACAACTATAAAAAATTCTTACAACAAGGGCCATGGTTCATTGGCTCCCAATACCTTTCAATCCGCCAATGGAAACCAAAGTTTACCCAGCAACAGCTTACCTCAATTTTTCCACTATTTGGATCCGACTCCAAGAACTACCTACTGAATATTACGACCTACAAATCTTACAGAAGATTGGAAATATAATAAAAATCCTCCTCAAAATAAATAGATGTACCATTAATGCAAGCAAAGGAAGATACGCACGACAATGCCTCCTAGCTTCTTTAGGCAAACCTTTGCCCATTGAAATCCTCCTAGGCGCCCATTTACAGTAGATTCATTATAAAGATGCCACTCTAATTTGTAAAACTTGTGGTTTTATTGGACAACACTCTACTTTATTCCACCTCCTATCGCCAAGAACAACCATCATCTCCAAAAGCTACGCCCCATCCCAATACATCACCTTTACCAACGGCTGACGCAAGCCCTTGGCAAACAGTTACTTACCCCTAAAACACTTGTAAATAATTATCCTCTTCTAAACTTACCACTAACACTTTACCACATATTCATACACCATCTATAAACAACCCAAAAAATATTAAAAACACCCTACCTACTATCCATTATGACAGTGTTATTCCCATTACTAATAGATTTATTTTCCCTATTACTGCCAATTCAGAAGATAATCATTCCCCTACCCTACTTTCCATACCTGATATTACTACTACACGTTCCCATAATAATGCACCTACCCTACTTCCCCCTTTAGACCTAAGATTTGAAGTCCCAATACTGCTCATTACATCCCCTCAGCCACAACTAAATCTCGGCGCCCACAAATTCCACTAAAAACGTCGACCTCGCCTATTAACGGCGTCACTCCCTAACCCTATTCCCAACTAATGACTCTCTATACTACTAACTCTGTTAAATCTACTCTCATTTCACCCTCTAATGATTCCCACACTCCTCATCCCTAACACTATTAGGGCACACATATTTCGATTTCCAATCAACTTATGACCGTGTAAAAAATAAAAGACTACTCTCTTCCAATACCCCTCACTCACCCCTACCCAGACAAGAGCTGACATTAGCCCTTCTTCGTCTTCTCCTCCACACTATCATCAACTAACCACTTGTCTATGCCTTCTACCTCAGAAACTGCCAAATGTCCTTCTTACATACACACTCTCACATATCCCACACCTTTCCCCACAACATCTACCACTGTCACAACTACTCCTCCTATCGACTCAGTAGGCACTCATGTATCTTCAACCATGGATCTTAGTGCCTTAATTTTGGTTGTATTTCCACTGCCAGCCGAAGATGCACCTCCCAATCAAATACTGCCATTATTTCCATTACCCACCCCTCCCTCTCCCTCTCTATAAAACACACCACCACCACACTTACTACGACTCACCTATACAATTCATCTACTTCCCTAACTTTCTCTCCACTTCATCATCATGCATCGCAACTACCCACTACGCTACCAACACAATCGGGGATGCAGGATCATTAGCAACATCAACATTAACAACTATGATCTTCCACCACTCTCCATGGTGCCATATCCACAGAACCACCAACCTCACTATCCTCAATTACCCCTACCCGCTCATCCTCACTCTCTATCCAGTCATCAACATGTAACCACATCCTCTACCGCAAAAATTAGTTCTTAGAACTTGCCTCTCCTCCAGCAATAAACATCTACACTTCTCAACAACAACGAACTACTAATAACATTTATCCAGAACAGAATCCCAGATTACTTGCAACAGGATCATGTCATGACACATCTCCATCTCCAAGATATCAGAGCACTCGAGATGCGCACTCAGATCACGCATGCATAGGAACAGACTCAACAACTCCAGCAGCATCAACATCAATGGCCTACACATCCACCTCCCACATACTAGCCCTACTTCAATAACCTGCCACAGCACCCTCAGGAAATTCCACTACCTCCTTTTCCCGATGAGGAACAACTAAATCCTCTGCCACCGATACTGCCAGAAATACCACCTCCTACCGCACTACCACTACCAAAGATTCCTCCCCTTGATGATGAAGCACCACCACAAAACACTGTAGAGATGTTCATGAAGAATTTGAACCTGGTAGATTATATGAGCATCTCCATGCTAGAAAATATAGAAAAAAATACTTGATTCTTCTTCCATAGACTCTGCACAAGGCTTCTTTCACTATCCGCTTTGACCCCTTCTTTGTGGACTAGAATTATGTGATTGTCCTTATCCTTACGCTATCAGACATGCCGCTCGAGCAGCCCATGCTGAACCCTTACCATCTCACCATGCATTTGGAGGGAGATCATCCCCTACCAATAATAATCCAATGAAGATCTTACTTTGGAATTTTTGTGGGGCCAACGGCCTAGAGTTTCGACACCATCTCTGCTTCTTGCTTGATTAGAATAACCCTACGATCCTCTGCCTCACAAACCGCGCATGGAAGATCACACTTCTTTGCTCAACGAATTCCACTTCACTGACCTTCTCCGGGTTGCTACCCAGGGTTACATCGGGGGAATCTGTATCTCATGGCGTGTTGATGAGCTGATAATCTTATCTACTCATTGTTACTAGATAGGAAGTCCACGCTTCCATCCAGGTATCATCTTTTCCCACAAAGTGGTTTTTATCCTTATCTATGCAAGTACTTCATATACTGCTCGTCAAATTTTATGGAATAACCTTGAACAATTTGCACACTCGCACACTCATGCATGGCTACTATGTCATGACTTCAATGAAGTGACTACAAATGCACACAAATTTGGAGGCAACTCTACTAATACTACTCATGCTACTGCCTTCACTAACTATTTGAATAATACCAATATGCTAGATCTTGTCTTCACAGGCTCTCGTTTTACTTGGTCCAACAAACAAAAAAAATCATATTTTAACTTAATTCTAGAATTCGATAAATATTTTGCTAACCAGAATGGCTCCATTGTTCCCCGACTCTACCGCACTACATCTTCCCCGTACATATTCAGACACTGCCGCTTGTTGCTTAATCTCACTAAGGAAACCATTAAACCACCCCCTCATTGCCGCTTAGAAACCATGTGGTTCAACCACCCAGACTTTCCTAACGTAGTTGCTAATAACTGGGCTGATAATCATGATTACTTCTTCGGTCTTAACAATTTTACTAATCATATAAAATATTGAAATAAGCATACTTTTGGTAACATCTATTATAAGAAAAACATTACCTTGCCTCGATTAGATAGCTTACAAAAAATGGATCTTACTACTAAAAATAATTTTCACTATAACCTTGAAAATAGAATTCTTGTAGATTTTAATGCCACTCTAAGAATTGAAGAAGATTTTCAGGAAACTTAAGCCCATATACAGTGGCTTAATGATGGCGATGCTAACACTAGTTTTTCCACCTATCCACTATGCAATGTCGTCGTCGCAATCGTATCCATGTTCTCTCATATACGGCGGGCAATTGGTCCTTTGATCCCAATACTATCCGCTCTATATTTATTCAATATTTTATCCATATTTACACTACCCAACTACCTCACTGGTCCGTTATCCCAGTCACTCTTAACGCATTCCACCTTTCCCTAGTGGCTATACAATCTTTACATGTCCGCTTCTTCAATCCAAAATTCACCATGCCATTAATTCTTTTAAGCGTCATAAAAAACATGGTCCAGATGGTCTTCACCTCATTTGTTTTTTCAAAAATATTGGGATCAACACAAAATGCTACTCCCTTTGTTTCAGTTTAGATGAGTAGTTTGACTCGGTACGGAGTTTAATAAAAAAAGAAGACTTTTGAAACTTGTGGTCTTAAAAGCTTAAGGGGTAAAGCTTTGTTGGGGCCATGACATTTGTATGGTTATAAAAGTTTCTCATTAAGGGTAAAATGAGTAAAATGAAGAGTTTAAGGTTGAATTATTTCCAAATTTAGAAATATATCATTCATTTTTGGAACACACTAAAAAGGAAAGTACTTTATCTAATTTGAAATAGAGGGAGTATTACTTAAATTTGCACAAATTCTTTTAACACTGGCACAATCCCTTCAGACCTTAACCAAAAACCCTTCGGAAATTACTCAGTATGGACCAATTCGGCTATGTAACATCATCTACAAGACCATCACTAAAATACTGGCTAATCGTATTAGGTCATTTCTCCCCACTCTAATCGCTCCCACACAATGTAGTTTTGTTCTGGGTAGACGTGCAGTTTTTAATGCCATTATTGTTCAGGAGGCTTTATATTCCTTTCATAAATCCAAAGGCAAGTTAGGCAAAGTGTTGCTTAAAATCGATCTTAAAAAAACATTTAACCGCCTCGAATGGTCATTTATTTGCTACTCCCTACAAAAACTCAACTTTCCCCCTTCGATTATTAAACTTATTATGTCCTGTATTACAACCTCTTCAATTCTATACATGTCAATGGAAAGCATATTCCTTACTTTCACCCATCGTGCAAGATACGTCAAGACGACCCCCTCTCTCCCTATCTTTTTATTATTTGCAAGAAAATTTTTTCTCAACTCATCTAGGAAGCAACACTCTCAGATTGTCTATCTCCCACTCCTCTTTGCCGATGATCTCATTCTTTTCTCAAAATCAGATCTTCCCAGTGCCCATTCAATTATCCATTATTTCACCAATTAAGTGCCCAATCGGATCAACAACTAAATTTTCACAAATCAAAACTTATTTTCTCAAATAATGTACCCCAAAATCAACAACACCTACTTGCCTCTCTTTTAAACATTCGACCCCCTTCTTTATTTGGTAAATACTTAGGGTTTCCCCTCACAAACTTATACCCCAAATCTTCTGACTACCAATATATTCTTTATTACATGAACAATCGACTTCAAGGATGGAAGACTAAATTCCTTTCTCTCACAGGGAGAACCACCTTTATTTAATCAGTTCTCAACTCCATTTCCACTTACGCTATGCAAAATCACATTCTACCATCTAAGACACTCCTCCATATTGAGCACATCCAACGAATCTTTCTCTAGGTCTCTATACCCACACATCACAAAATCCACCTACTCCCTTGGGATGCGGGATGCAATTACCAAACCCAAATCCTAGGGTGGATTGGGGCTTCCCCAAGCCCACACCAAAGGCATCGCTGTGCTTGCTTGCCTTGCATGGTGTTTGTCTACCTTACCAAACCTTTTATGGGTTCAAACTCTCTCTGCCCAATATTGTACCACTCATTGCACTCCTCCTTCGCCTCTTAAATTCACTACTAAACCATCTGACTCACATATATGAAAAAGTCTCAGTAAAGCTGTTCCCTTTGCCAAAACTGTTCATCAGCAACATTAGCTTATAGACCGACAACTGGATATTTCCTAATTTTTCCCTTCGTTCTTTAATTCAAGTACCACTCATTGCCTATGAACACCAACTCATACTTAATTTCATTCTAACACTATCCTCTTCTTATGACCTCTCCTTGCTTTCCTTTGATGTACAAACAAATATCTAACGTCTCATTCACAACACTCTCATCCATCCACAATCTGGCAAACAGGACACTCACTGTTGGCACCCATCCCATAATGGTACTTTCTTTACAACCACTACTTACTCTTTATATATTCAACTTTACTCGCTACCCTCTCCTCCCTTTCCTGATCATTGGGTTCGGAAACAAACACCCTTAACAAAATTAAACATTTCCTTTGGCTTCTCTTGCACTGTCTGTTACTAACCAACTAACTCGTTTTCCATCTAATGATCCTTCCTCACGGCCACATGTTCCATATGTGGCCATCCAGAAGAAGTCATTCCACATCTATTTCTATATTGCTCTTCGGCAGCCCACATCTGGCAACACTACAATATCTCTACCTCGCCTGCCCAATAATCCCTTCAGCACCACCTCAACTGGATCCGCAACCAGTGCCCACCACAGGTTATTCGTATGTTGGCCCCCACCTTTCCATCCTCACTCCTTTTATACTTTGGCATATTTGGCTCACTCGCAACCATAACCTTTTTCACCACTCTACCACTCCATTTATCCCAATATCATTTCCCCCTAAGCCATTGAATTCACTCATTTCGCTGCCAAATCCACCATAAAGCTTCTTCACATGATGCTTCTGGTCTACTGGCAACCTCCTCTACAAGGTCAGTTCAAAACTCAATATTAATGGTGCAGTTGACTATACTACCTCCCGTGGAGGTATTAGGGGAGTTTTTCGTGACTCATCTACTACCTTGGTGGCAGGCTACTCCACGCCATTGCATCATACTACTATTTTGCAAGCAGAACTGCTTGGTCTCTACCATGGATTACGTATAGCACTCAACAACCACTACAAGCCACTTATTGCAGAAACTGATTCACAGGTACTTACTACCCTACTCTCCACTAATAATCCTAAATACTCATATTTGTTTGATGCATGCATGTTGCTGCTACTTGACTTGGGATCGCATATAGTCCAACATACATTCAGGGAGGGAATTAGAGTGGTGGACGTTTTGTCTTCTTTTGGCAAAGACAACACAATGGCTCATCCCCAATAACTTATGTTTTTGAACACCATCACCTTTAATCTATTGCACTTACTTTTAGACTCTCAGGGGCATTGTAACTCTTCGTTTGCTCCCAATATGTACTAGTTTCTTTTTGTATCAATAAAATGCTTGTTTAAGCAACAAAAAAAGAAAAAGAAATAGACAAATGTAGTTTGCATATAGACACTGCAAGCTGCTTTATCTAGGGCATTTAGATTGGTAGCATTAAAAGATCATGCTTGTTTTAATCTCCATACGAGTATTTAATGGATTGATTTTGTGGTCTTAATCTTTATTATGGTTGAATTTTCATACTTGTTGTATCTAAAGGTGCTCTTCTCTAAATAATGATGCTAGAGCGTTTATTAAGCTAAGGCATGGAGTTTTGTTGGGTTAGTTATCTTGAAACAGTGAGAAAATGGCAATTATAAAATTTCTCCATTGACAGCCATTAAAAATTTTTGAAGCTTTGAATTTGAAAATTTGGTTTTGTAAAATTATTATTTATTTGGATTTGGTGTTGCTGCAAATGATTGAAAATATTCTTTGAAGCTTATATCTCAACTTTGATAGAAATTGGTGGAGATTCAAGTTGATTTTGGTTGAAATTTCATAATAAAACTCGAAGAAAAAGACATAATTAAATTGTATATTGTCTGTATATTGGGTGTATATATGACTTACAAAATGTATACAACTAATATAGTTGTACACAAGTTCAATATAAATTGTACTTTTTATTGGATTCTGTATAAAAAAATTCAACTTGTATATAGATTGAAGTTTTTGACCGAATTCTATATAATAAAAAATTGTATTCAAGTTGTATATAAATTATAGCTTTTGACTGAATTTGTATATATTCTGTAAAAAACTTTAGTTGCTTTATGTAAATAGGAAAACCTGACTAAAATAGGTAAATAGGTTTAATATTTAGTATATATACAAAAACAATCGCATTTGTAATATGGATACTTAATATGTACAACCCAAACAAATAGTTTACCGTAAATATAGTCCAATAAAAATTTTACATCTAGAATAGCCAAATTGCTTAAAATAAGTATTGTCTCTTTCAATATTACTTTTAAATGTTTTAATTTTACTTTTGCATTTCTCAATGTTGAGAACACCTATTCCTTATGTACTTTAAGTATTTGTTTTTTACACTAAAGTGTTAGATTTCGAATTTTAATGATGACTAAAAATAAAAGTCAAAGACTCTCTACTAATATCACTACTACTTATGCAGGTCAACTTCCAAAGCACAACATGGGAAGTTCCTAAAATCAATGCACCAGAATAGGAAAGCAACCAAAGAAGGTACAATAGCAGAGGCAGACAATTTTCTTATAAACATCCCTCCGTCAAAAGCGTACATCAAGGAAATAAGGAAGAAAAGGAAATCAATCAACTATGCAAGACCTACAAAATACTCAAATTAAGAGATTGGAAGGAAGACTGCAAGATGGAAAGCTTTAGAGTCCAAGACTGTCAAGGAAGATCTAACATATTGATTGAATTTGAATCTATCCCTGTTTCATACGCTGGATTCAAAAGGCAACCCTTGGGTCCTACTCTTAGAACACACTGCCTCAAAAAGAAAATCATAATCAACAATTTTCCAAATCTCAGAGAAAGAATAGACAGCCTCATCAAGAACTATATAAAAAGAGAATAAAAGATGTGGAAGATCATGCATCTTTCATACAAGTTTTCACTCTTTCTACCTTTTAGAAAAACCAATGTATTTCTAACTTTACTAGTGTCCCAATAGATAGAGAGAAAAAGAAAGCAAGGGAAAGATTGTATCACAATTTCATATAGTAACTCCTTAGTGGTAAACATGAGAAAAACCACACTCTTATTTGTAATTGTTCGATAGAAGAACTAAGAGAACTCTTGTGACTAAAGGATACTGGATGTTGGTGCTACATCGATACACGAACTAGTACAAAAATCTCTGTCTCTCATGTCTTTGTCTTTACATTTTGTTATATTTATTTGCTGAACTAACTATTGTTTGCAGAATCTGAATAGTCAACTAAGAATAAAGTTAGTCGACTAAAGAATTTTTACAAATCACCCCTCCCCCCTTTTATATTTTCAATTGGTATCAGAGCAAGTCTCACATTCGGAGGAAAACGTTTGCTTAACCACAAAGTGAGTAAAGATCATGGGAAAAAACACTGTTGTGGTAACACCTCCTTTTTTACCACCTGAGAGGAAATATAAGGGAGTTTTTCCAATTAAAGTGACATTATTCGAAATGAGATTATTTAATTTATCAGAGTCGCCACTTGGAATAGTTTATTTGGTGTCCCAAGTCACTGGTTTATTTTAAATCCCAAATCGAGGAAGTTTCGACTTTATTTTAAAAGTCTGCAAACCAGAAATTCTAGATAAGGAATTCTGTTAATCCAGGAGAAGATGTTAGGCATTCCTGGGTTCCGTGGTTCTAGCACGGTCGCTTAGTGATTATTACTTGGCTTAAGTTGTCTAATAACTTATTTTAGGACCTATGCGCATTTACCTTTTACCGCTTTTAATCACTTGAATTATTCGTAATTAAAGAATTGAGTTACGCGTACGTATACTAATTTCCTTTGGCGCGTCAAAAATTATGTCACGCGAACGTGTCCACAATTAATAACGCTTTGTTTATTTATTAAGAAAGTTTGATTGAAGTTGCGTGAACGCATCCCTCGAGTTACTTTTTTAGAATTAAATTCGCAATTATATTACGCGAACGTATACATAATCACAATAATAGTCTAAGTCGAGCCTAAAGCGAACTACGATTATTTATTAATAACAACATTTATGAGGGACATGGAGAGTTTAATTGATGACATACCTCAATTTCTACATGGATTAACTCTTGAATTAATTTCATGAGGGCCATGGGTTAAGGGGTTTTATGGCACACCTCAAATTAATTTTAGCTAAGGGAGATTATTTAAATAAGGCTAAGATCCTAATTGAGGTTTAAACTAGAATTTCTTAACTTAAAGCCAAGATTTTGGATTACTGTGAGCGGCTATTTTGGGCCAAGACATCCACATTGGACTAAACCCAGGAAAAACTCAACTTTGAAAAAAGCTGGACTTGGGCTCCAGACTTGGGCCCATTGGAACGAAAGTTTCAGGGGTCTTGCTTTTTTTTTTGGGTTTTAACTAAGTTTTTGCTCACATTAGGCTTCAGGCAGGCCCAAATACTATATGTGTTCAAGTTGGGCATATCTACCTTTACAGTTAATTAAATCTGTCTATTTATAACCAAAGCATTTCAATTTATTGCTTAAGTAAAGAATTCAGGACATTAAAGATCAAAACGAATTTCTAATCTCAAAAGTTAATCAATGATTTACAAAATAAAAGAAGCATAAACTTATATCATGAAAAACAAGAAGCCTAGATTTTGGGCTTAGGTCCCAGGCCCAAAGGCCTAGGTCCAGATTCCTTTCGTGGGTCAATATTTAATTGGGCCTCAAGTTCAGCCCCAGTTGATCCAAAGATAGCCCCTTTTACCCTTACGGATTGGGGCTCTCAACCCTAGCCCATTGTACCACCACAATTATGAATACTCTTATTGATAATTCATACAAAATGAAAGTCTTACTTATTACAGCACTTCATACAGAATCAAATTTTCTAAGAAAAATCTATGAATATGCATGATATCCTATTAAGTACATAGAGTACTCTTCTAATTGCTAATATGCTATAATTCTCGTTTCATTAATGAACCAGTGGACACCTGCCTCTTTTGGACATTGTTTATCCATCAAAGTTGGGTCTCTCACATAAACAAACTAGATTTCAGCAGGTTTAAACAATAGAAATTTTAGACTCTTAGCCTTGGAACCTGCTGATTTGGTCAACTAGTGACCCAAATCTGTAGGTATTAGCTAGTAGTTTGCAAATAAATCCCAAATTACCTCAAAACAAACATCAATCAGAAAGAGAACAAGAGCAAAAATGAGTCAAACACAGCTGCTACCAACAACAAACTTTCAATTCTTAGCCCTTTAACCTACTGATTTGGCCAACTAGTGGCCAAACTCACAGATTACAGCTCATAGTTAGCAAACCAATCTCAGGTGACATCAAGTAAACCTTAAGTTATGCATTTAAATAGAAGAAAAGAAAGGAGAAGACATGACTCTAATGAACAAGAATCCAGAATCAGCATTGTCCAAACAGAGTATTTAGCTAGAGAGCATCTTTAAACAAGGTCATTTTTTAGAATGATGACTTCTAAACATCCATGTGTTAACTCAACTTGTTCATACCAAATAACTTCAAGTTTTAAGCTCACATAATAACAAATAGCTGGGATACACATCAATGCAGTCATAAACTAACATGAAAAGAACAACCATTCATCACAGGTAACTTGCAGTTTTTGATCCCATATCATTTTAACAAACTCATTACATGAAGAAAAGTTGAGTTCAATACCTTGAACAAACAACAACGAGAACCAGTGAGTGCTAAGATAGGAAAAAACTGGTTGAAGAACTTGAAAGAAGAAAGGAGCAACAGTAGAAATTAAGCAGCCCAACAACCAAATGAATTTCAGAGTTTCAAACCAAAGACCAAACACTTGAAGCCAGAAATCCCAAGTAATTAATCCTAGAATACTCTATATTTCAATCCATTTTCTAGCTTATGAACCAAAGAGGAATTTTTTTTTGGAAAATCTTTCTAAGGTTTTCTAAAATCTGGAAAGGGAACTTTTTTGCAGAGATAATGCCTAATGATTGCTAAAAAATGATCCTCTTTTATCAGAGTGAGTGAGCCTATATATATAGGCTGACTTTGGAGGGTATCTTTTAGGCATATTCCTTATCCTAGGGAATAAATAGTACTGTTCTTTTTACAGTCCTTAGTACAGTTGTCCTATATTTCAGCATCTTTTTTATAACAGCTAGGACAGTTGTACATTTCTAGGAAGTTTTTGATTTTTTAGCCTAAGTAAAAATCCATTTTTACCCTTTAAATTACCACTTATTTCAGTTTTTATCCTAAATGTTTAGGTTCAGTTGAGTCCCTAAAGTTCCTATTGATTTTCAAATCAAGACAAACAAAACAAACCTGGACAAAATCAGAAATTCAAATCAAAAGACCTGAGGGAGTCAAGTGACTGTAATCCTGAACCTAACCTAAATTAACCAATAAACAGAAATGCCTATCTAAATAAACCTAAAAATTGAAGCTAACAACTAATACACTTAATAGTAAATTCAAAAAATAAAAAAAATGCAAAGAAGACCTAGAATTCAACCTATCAGCTTTAAATTTAAGCAATTAGAGCAACAAATGACCTAAATAGCTTGTTGATTTACTCAAAAATAAAACTGATTACAAAATAAAATCATGGAGGCAAAACCGAGTAGGCATCAAACAAACCCTAATTAAACTAAAATCATGCAATTTGAGTATTGAAATGCAAACATGCTTTAATTAATCAAGAACAACTAAGCAACTAAGCAATCTTGAAGAAAAGAAAATTCTAAACCTAAACATGCGGTTAATCAGAAATGAACATGAAGAGGGAAAATCAGAGAGAACAATTCTCAAAAAATCTAAACATTAACCTAAATAAACCTGAACCTAAGCAACTTGAATTTCTAATGGTGAGATTTTAAAACATGTTTCAGCTATTCTAACAAGATAGATGCCAGAAATCAAACTAATAAATTAAAAAAAAAGGAAAAAAAGAAGATAAATCTAAATCATGTGTCTAAGACAAGAACTCTGAACATGCAGAGGAAAAGAAAAAAGAACAAACAAAAGCAAACATGAGAGTGAAAAGAATTACTTAAACTTGTTTTTTAAAAGAACAGACCAACTATGACCTTTGACTAAACTTCCTCAAGGTAACGTGAACTTGAACTAACATTAGTCGACTGTTATCAACAAGAAACAGTCGACTAATGAAAGTTTAGGGTTCAACCAACCAAACAGAGACCGAAAATCAGAAGGGGGAATAGCTAGGATTCAAGGAATCTTTGATTCAAGATTCGAAGGAATCGACGGGGATTTTTGGGAAATTGAGGGTAGGGTAGTGGTGAGGGGAGGTTGAGGACCATATGGTATGAATTTGGGGCTTTTTTGGCGATTTAGGATTTTTGACTTTGAATCTCGGATTTGAGATTCGAAGCGCTTGAAGGTGATTCAAAGGGATTGGTTTGGAGATTTGTAAAGAGGAGGTGAAGGGGAGTCTGGGGTGTTGATTTGGGGCCATTTGGTACACCGGAACCGCCGTGAGGCGATTTTCGATGGGTGGTTTATGGCGGAGGTGGCGGGGAATATGAAGGCGACTAAGGTTCGTTCTTGAGAGAGAGGAGAGACTGAATGAGGGGTCTTTTGGGGGGTAGGGGGTCTCGTTCAGACAATTATATGTAAAACGAAGGGTCAGTTCCAGGCTGTTGGATCATAATGGTCCAATGGTCGTGATGAGATCAGGGGCGAATAATGTCGTTTGGTAATATGGGGGGACGTGGACACGGTAAGGCTATTTGGGCCTGGAGTGTGGGGCAGATCTTGGGTATAAATTGGGCTGGTTTGGGTGGTAAAGTTAGTCCAATTCCAAAACAAGATCCAATCCTCTTTTATTCCTCTTCTTTTCTCTTTTCTTTTCTTTTTTTAATTTAATTAGAAATCCCTAAAAATAAAATCCTAAATTATCAAAAATTATAAAATTAAACCAACTATCTAATTATAAAAATTATAAACATCACTTAATTTTAAATTAAAAGAGAAAATCAATAAATTAAAAATTAAATGATAAAAAATGTAAAATGAGCTATTTTTGTGATTTTCAAATTTCTATAAAACAAATAATTACTGATTAATCCTAAAAATGTAAAACAAATCCTAAATGCAATGCATGGTATTTTTCATGATTTAAATAAAACTTAAACATGCACAAA